TATAGCTGCAGAAAAGGCTAACATTGTTATCTTTTTACAAAAAAACAGCTGAACATGAGAGGTTTTTGGACAAAGTTTATGTTCTAGATTCTTTAAGCACCGGTTCAAGCACCATTTAAGCACCGGCACAGTTTCAAAAGTACCGGTTTGGTACTGGTATCGGATAAAACCTAAACAATACCCATCCCTAATTGTGTAACACCCCATAAATGAAAAGAACTGCAAAGTAAAGCTAAGCTGAAGGGAGACTTCATAATGCTAACATAATGTGACAGTTTTGCTTGATCCCTGAAGGACAAACACAGCTGTGATGAATCCAGCTGTGTTTGATTTTTTTTAGCTACACCTCATATCATAATATTTTACTTCCAGGTAGCCACACTCTCTTGCAATTTGGAAAAATGGCTGCTTTTCACTTGTTTTCAGAATTTAGCAAACTCAGAAAAGAATCTTAAATCTTAAATTGTATCTTTAGATACTTTACTGCTGGCAGCCAATTACAAAACACATCATTTATTCCAATTTTTTCCTGCCAGAGATACGTACTCTTGAAATTATCAAGCTGCTTTGCCATTACACAACTTAAGTTAGCCCAGTTTAATCAGTGCTATTACTACCTGTAGAGCAAGATTTGACTTTGCACAGCACTGCTTTTTTAATCTTCAAACATCTAAGCAAATCTGTTCTTTTAAGGTCGTGCAAATCTAGATCCCAGAGCTGCTGTCAGCACAAACTCTGCTGGACTAAAGTTCTGGTGTGTGTATTTTATTTTATTTTTTTAAAAAGATGTAAATTGTTGTACTCTGAAACGGAATTTAAATTTTTATTTTCATTTCAATAAATGAAATGATAATGCAACATTGCTTATGAAGTTACTGCTACTGGGTAAGGCTGTTTTTGTGGTTTTTTTTACTGCAAATTAAGATACTCTTCAATATCCTGTGTTAAGGTTATCAGGTTCATTAATCTGGCTTTAGGTTAATGAAGGTTAGATCTAGTAGTAAATTAACTCTGGTCTGTCTATCTCTGGTACACCACATACTGACATACCAGAGATGGACAAACACGAGTCTAACAGACTACTTTCCGAACACATTTCCAAATCTGTCATGATAGCCTACTGAAAGGTGACTTGTAACTGACGATTTGTCTGTATATTCAGTGCTTCTTGCAGAACTTTGTAAATGTATTTACATGTTTACAAATGTCATTATAGGCATTCTGAATAAACATCTACAGATTCCTGTACACATGTATACGTTTGACACAGTTTTACAGATCTGTAAATGTGTAAAAAAATAATAATAATAAAAGTGCAAACATACACACAAACATACAGATTTTGATACGCACACACAAATCTCTATGCAGACTGAATGACAGAAAAAATCAATATAACTACAGCAGTAATGGTTAATTGAATAAAATCATTTTAGTTTAATCCACAATTCTAATATCACTATGCAAACATGAGTGTTTCTCTCACATTTGCAACTAAAAATAGTATCTATGAGCACATGTGTGAGTAAAAAATATTACAACATTAAGCACATGCTGGCGGCAAGTTTTTTTTAACAGAAATACTGCTAAAACAACAGCAGCTGAGAAGATCATGCAGTCCTATTTGAACATGTAGCCAGAGTCTGCCTCTACACACACAGAGTCATTCAGTCGGTAAGTTCAGGTTAAGTGAAAAAAAAAAATTTCTAGCACCTATTACTATAATGTTAAGTTAACTTTATAGCAGATTGTTTTACACAGTGAAAATCTACAGTAAAGATACAGAAGTTACATTAAAATGTGCAGATGAACTGCTACCTTAGTCTGTTACAATGTTTCAACTAGACAGAGTCACCTGCAACAAGCAAAGCTGACCTATGAAAATGTACATGGCACAGTAAAACTCTGAGGCACTGGCCTGGGGCTGGTAGGTTAGATACTGAATGGTTCAAATTAATTATTAATTATTAATTAATAACACCTACAGCATCCAAAGGTCTGCTCTCTGCAACAGTAAACGTCGCATCAAATCACAGGGCAAACCTCAGTTCTGAGAATGCTGATCTGCTCGCTTTTCTTCATAGCAGCCATGAAGAAACCAAAGTTGAAATGTAGAAAAACTTCCAGGAGAAGTAGCCTAATTTATCTATGCTTTTGTTTTGTTTTTACTCAAGAGTATGTGCAATATTATTATTATTTGACTTATTGATTTTGCACACTGCACTTTTGTTGCAAAGCACCTCTTAAGTTTTGTGGATATACATGATTATGGATAACCATGTTTATAACAGTATAACCACTGTTGAATTTTGTGTGGCTGTAATACACGTTAAAATAAACAGCTGCTTGTTTAAACAAAAAGAAATTGATGAGTTTTTTTCCCACTAATAAAGTTGTAGAGTTGTATTTTGTTTTGCGTCAATTATATTGTCAGTTATATCGTTATCAAATCTATATCGTGATAAATATTTTTGGCCATATCGCCCTGCCCTATTGAGAACAGTGAGGAGGCCCATCTAAAGTTTGCCAGAGACTATCTGGATGATCCAGAGGAGGATTGGGAGAATGCCATGTGGTCAAATGAGACCCAAATAGAAGTCTTTGATATAAATATCACTCGCTGTGTTTGGAGGCGGAAGAATGCTAAATTGCATCCCATGAACACCATACCCACTGTGAAACATGAGGGTGGAAACATTATGCTTTGGGGCTGCTTTTCTACAAAGGGGAAAGGACGACTTATTCGTATTACGGAAAGGATGGATGGGGCCATTTATCGTGAGATTTTGGGCAAAAACCTCCTTCCATCAGTGAGAGCACTGAAGATGAAACGTGGCTGGATCTTCCACCATGACAATGATGCCAAACACACCACCCAGGCAATGAAGGAGCGGCTACGTAAAAAGCATTTCAAGGTTCTGGAGTGGCCTAGCCAGTCTCCAAACCTCAATCCAATAGAGAATCTGTGGAGGGGGTCGAAAGTCCAAGTTCAACGATTCAAGAACATACAGCCAAAGAAACCCAAAAATTCATTAAAAGCAAAGAAGTGGAATATTCTTGAACGGCCAAGTCAGCGACCTTAACTTAACCCAGTTGAGCAATCATTTCACTTATTGAAGACTAAACTCTGGACAGAAAGGCCAACACAAAAACAGGAACTGGAAGCAGCTACAGTAACAGCCTGAAAGAGCATTAAAAAGGAGGAAACCCAGCATCTTGTGATGTCCGTGAGTCCAAGACTTCAGAGCGTGATTGGCAGCAAAGGCTTTTCAACCAAGTATCAGAAATAAATGTTTTATGTTCAGTTATTTATTCGTCCATTTACTTTTGAGCTCCTGAAATAAATGGATTGTGCTAAAAGAAATGCTTTACTTCCAAACAATTGTATGCAATCAAAAAGTATTTTTTTGTCCAATCATGCATTTAATTGTTGGAATAATTATAATAAAGAATACTTGATTACTAAAATAATCAGTAGTTACAGTTCTTGTCATTAGTATGTACAGAAGAGAGGTATAGTAAGTTTATCATTATTTGTAAAATGCAGTGGCGGCTTTCTCATGGTTCGTGGCTGCATTTCAGCCGGTGGTGCAAATGTAGAAAATCACAGTCAGATTTTGTTCGATACCATCTGGAAAGCGTCTGATTGGCAATGTCTTCACGACAATGATCCCAAACATACTGCCAATACAGTAAAAGCATACCTTGACAGAAAAAACACATTATCAAACATTATCAGTCATAGATTAACCTACATATTACGGAAGCAGCGTAGGATCGTCTGTAGAGACCACAGAACCAACAGCAGCCAAGAAGACAATAAGAACAAGCCTAGGTTTCTCTCACGACTGTAGACAGGCTGCAAGATCAGAGCTCTGCTGAGTTAAGCAAGCATTCCATTAATCCTTAACTAGTAATGACTTCACGAATTTCAAATATTACAGAAAAAAGTACTCATAACCATCTCACAGAAATAACATTATGTACAGCTACTTTAATACCACTCATATTTATCTAGACTCTTTACCTCCACCCTCTGTCTGTCCAGCCCGACAGACACTCTCTCTACTTTTAAGATTAGGCTCAAAACTTTCGTTTCTGATAAAGCACATAGTTAGGGATCCTCTCTATGCAGTTACACTTCAATAGGTCTAAGCTGCCGGAGGCTACCCATCAGTGTTACTTTTTCACTCACTTTTTTTTTCCTACTTCATATGTGTTTATACACCACTCTGCATTTAATCAGTAGTTAATGTTAATTTCTGCCAACGTGTCTATGTTGTGTCTTCCCACCCCTAAGCGGTCACAGCCCTGCCTGAGCCTGGTTCTGTTTGATGTTTCTTTCTGTTAAAAAGTTTTTTCCTTCCCACTGTCACCAAAATGCTTGCTCATAGGGAGTCATGTGATTGCTGGGGGTTTTATGCTACATACAGGCTGAATACAGGCTAGTAGGCTGAATACAGGCTAGTAGCTGTATTCAGACTGTGTTTAATTTTAAAAATTGACTCAGTCTTTATAAAAGAAAACTCCTAAGATGAGCCTTTGAAATAGCTGAAATAAACCAATTTAGCATAAGCTAGAAACCTTAGCTAGCACTAATAAAGTCATCAGAGTCTACCAGAAATATTCAGGATTTCACTCACTGATTCCACTTCTTTGACTTCTTCTAACAGTAAAAAAAATATGTTCATGCTGCATGCTTGTTTCATGTTAGCAGTCTTTGTGTTCATGAACTCCCTACATTGTGTTTTTCATGCATTTGTTCAGGAATCTAAGTCTTCATCATCCTCATTTTCTAATGTTTAGCTCACTCTCCGTCTGTTTTGCACACTTACACACACACAGCCTTGTGCACGCTTTAGGAAAAGTTCATAACTTGCTCGTGTTCCAAGTAATTAATAACAAATGCAAAACAAAAGGGATTCTGGTAGACCTACCTCTGAGTTCTGTATGCCAACTTTGTGAAATAGAGAGGGACTGTGATATACTGCCGTGTAACGGAAAAGTGCCTGCTTCCTGTTCTTTCAAAGTAAAAGCTCAAAGAAAGGAAGTTCCAAAAGCAGCGTCATATTGAAGCAATTTATTTCAAGTTTTGTTCTGTTTTTTGTAGATATATTATTTCCTGTTAGTTTAACAGTTGTAAAATAACCGTGTTTCTGTTTTTTAAATAAATAATGATTGGTTAAAGCTGTCAAAGGGATATTTAGGGCCAGCAAAACCATCCTTTGTCATTAAAATTCTACTGACTATTTATAAAATTGTTAATTTTGCAAAATCTAAATAATATGCATATATGAAATACATACAATAAGGATATAGCAGCAGACCTAGGGTTTCTCTGTCCTGGTCGTTGTGTCCTTGGGCAAGACACCCTACTGCCTACTGGTGTTGGCCAGAGGGGCCGATGGCCAACTCGCTTCTGTCAGTCTGCCCCAGGGCAGCTGTGGCTAACACCGTGGCTTGTCTCCACCAGTGTGTGAATGCGAGAGTGAATGAATAGTGGCATTGTAAAGCGCTTTGGGTGCCTTGAAAAGTGCTATATAAATCCAATCCATTATTATTATTATTATTATTACTAAATTTGTAATATAGCTGAATGAATATGATATGAATTTTTAATTCACTATTCCATTTTATTCGTAGACATTTAAGTACACCTGCGTACAACTGCCTCCCCAAAAGCCAGCGGGTAGACAACAAAGGAAAAACATCAGCTGGTCGACCAGTCTTGGAGCTTTTTTGTTGCTGCATGTCTGGCATCAGTCTGTCAGAGTTTGTTAGTTTACCCTGCATCCCTCATCATTACGCACCTGAGTCTTCATATTCTTTATATTTGATAGCGCTATCTTCCACTTTTAATTCAAGAAAGGGGCTTTAAAGAGCCCAGGGAGCTTTTTTTTTTTCTTTTTAGAAAGAGACAGCCCTGTTCGCATGTCTTTTATAGATACGTAACATCTGCATCCCCTTGCAATGGCTGGCATGAACGACTTGGATTAATGCCAGCCATTGCTGTTTCTCCAGACATTTCTCTCAAGAAGGCACTGGCCACTCCACCTGCATCCTGATTTCTAAAAGAAAAACCTCCACCCATTTTGAGATCATATCAACAAACACCATGCCATATTATAAAATACAATAATATCTTCACATCACCTTCACATTGTTCAAGCTCACTGAAGCCCATTTAAAACCAGAGGTGATAGTGCTTTTGAGGGTGTGACACTCAAACTGTGAAACAGCCTTGCTCAGTCAGTCAGGTTGGCTGACTCTGTTATTTGTTTTAAGTGAATGCTGAAAACTCATTTTTATAAGTTATCATTTCCTTAATCCATTCCCCTTCATTTGCTGCCATAGTTTGAAAGCACACGTGCATGTTTGTGTGAATGTCTGTCGTTATGGCTGATTATGATTTAACATGCACACTTATCCTCAATATGTGGTTTTTATTTGAACTGTGAAGCACTTTCTAACCCTGTTTTATCAAATAAATAGTTATTATTATTATTATTATTATTCGTAGATGATCAAAAGGTCTGTCCTGGTGTGCCTCTAGTCTGAATACCTGTCCCAGGATTGTTAGTTGCATAAAACAAGAATTGCAAAAATTTTTGAGAATAAATTTGGAAACTCTTTGTAAACTAGTGTTGCTCTCTCTGTTGTACCACCACGACTTTTGACACATGCAGGGATAATGAGTAAAATAATGTTTGGTTTGTCATTGGGCCAATACCAGACCTCACTTGTTATATAAGCCCGTGTGGTTTTCCACACATTTCTGGAGTAGCTGTGATGTGGGCAGTCTGTAAATTGTGTTAGACGAGGTTAGTTTGTTTGTGATGTTAATGTTGTGGTCTTCACATTCTGTTGATCGCCTCCCTCTGGCAGTAGCAAAGCATCCACTAACACACTGATCTTGGACATTTACTTCCCAATTTAGGATTTGGAGCAGTGCCATTTTCCTGTTGTTTAACGATGTTATTGTCAAGCCACCTGCTATTTTTTTATACTAAGAGCAATACACAGAGTTTCAAACATATGATGCTCAAAAAAAACATAAAGGACCACCTTGACAACAAATCAGAAAATAATCATGCATGTGTTTTCCTCCCAGATCTGATCCAGGGCATCACTGAGCTCCTGGCTAGTGTGGGGGCCAGTCAATGGTATCACCTCCTTGAGCCTCAAGTCCCTACCTCCATATTTTTACCACATGAGGCCAGGCAA